TATCTCTTCAACTGGATCTGGCGTTTTTACTTTGAGGGCTTCTTTGACATGATTGCCATTGTGGCTGGAGTGGTGCAGACGGTCCTTTACTGTGATTTCTTCTACTTGTATGTTACGAAAGGTAAGTGGAGCACTGCAAGTGTAATTTTCATTATTGACTCGAGGAGGAAATCTTCCAGTTTCTGAACTACAGTTGTTGTGTAATTCTCAAAAATCAACTGAAGCATCACGTCATTTCACACATTTTTGTAGCAAATTGGGTTAGTTTGAATAAAATGACTTTTCTTTTCTTCTTGGAAATATTCAAAGGCATTTTTGTACTCTAAGACCAATTCTGCCTGTTTTTACCAAGAAACCTCAAATTAGCCTTCGCTATGGTAAACTTACAAGTACAGTTGTATTTGTACACAGAAAGGACAACTAAACTAAAATCTTCCAGTGTTTCGGCCTCATGACTGCTAACGTCAGTGAAAATTGAAATTAAATTAAAACTTTGGTCAAAGTTTCTCACACATCTAAGTGAATGTAATACTGAACAGTGTTCTGTTCCTACACTGTGGCTTTTTACAGTTAGATGCGGGGTGACTGTGTGAATCCCATCTTTGAGCCTGAGGCGGGGCACATTCTGTCCACCAACCAGACAGAGCATCATTCACAATTTCATTCAAAAAACACAAGGACATGCAAACCAATAATGATTTGTTACTGATATTTTATCATGCTGCATAGAACTGAATGTCAATATTCAACTTCTTTTGTGTTTTTGTCATATCAGTCTTGAAGGGCAAGAAGCTGAGCCTTCCAGCATAAAAAACAAGTTGAGGAGGTGACGGGACTCCCAGCAGACTCAGGGCGAGCGGAGATGAAATTGTGGGATCTCGTGACCAGCAGCAGGAGGCCTGTGACAGAGCTGCCTCATGGGGAATAACACTAAAGTCTTTTGGATGATTTCAGATGAACTGGTAAATGCCAACCAACGTCAGAGCTGAACGAATCTCGGTCAACCATTGGATTTATTTGTTCAGCGTCTTTGCCTTAACACTTCTTTCATTACTATTCAAATGGGAGAGAAGGCCTCTTCTATTTGCGAGGTGCTTTTTGTTGCTTTTTCCTTTGAATTTTTAAAAATATTCTCGCAAAAATGGTTTTCCATTTGACTTGGCGATGATATGCACAAATGCACAGTTTTGGAGAAGTGGAGTAATATATCAGAGATCAGTGCCTGATAAGATTTATGTTCATTGTTTTTTTTGTCTTTCATTTTATTTCCATTTGCCATATTAATTGTATGCCTAAATTACATCTGTAAAATACTTAAGAGGCCAACAGCAAGTTCATAATTAGAAATAAAATCCCAAAAGTGTCATTTTTAATGCATTACTCCAATGTTTTGTAAAAAAAAAAAAAAAAAAAAAAAAAAAAATATCCAGTGAAAGATGTAACCAAATAAAAATGCCAGCCATTTTTTAATAACATTATCTGTATTGTAACTGTGACAGTCTTATGTGTTGGCATTTAAAAAGATTTAATGTGCCAGTCACATACTGCTGTCAAAACATTTTTCAAATTTCCCTTATTATTAACTGAAATATAACTCTGTCATACTGCTATCAATTGTCCGGCACAGTGGGACTAAAATGTATACAATATATTGACTTTTATTGGGTGTAAGAAGTATGAATATTTGTCTACACCTGACTGGTCATGTAATGTGCAAGCCTCTACTCTCAAGAGATCTTTCATAGGATCATTTCAATTCACTTTTACAGTATTTAGTATCCACTGTCAAGTTTTTTTTATTTGTTTTTGCATGATATCACATTCATTAAAGATTTTTTTTTTTTTTATCATAGATTGTGTGATCACATTTTCTTTATTTTGGATTATGGATACTCACTTTCTTGGAGCATTATCAAGATACTTATTTTTCACATCAGGTTTGGTGGTGGTTTGGAAAGATAAAGACATTACACAAAATGCTACAGTGCATGAGTCAGTGGGAAATATACTGCAGAAAGACATTTCATACATAAAAGAAACGCCCAGGGCATAAAAGGCTAAAAGGACAGTGCCCAAAAAATAATTAACTGGGCTTTTTGTGTTTTTAGGAAAGATCTAAACATGTCATACAGTATAAAAATGTATTTAAAAATAATTTATCAAATAGTTGCTTTTATTTTGTATAATAAATATATGTTTAATAATATAGTAACATGTAATTATATCTTAAAAGAAGGGTCACATTCATTTAAACATTAGTGCATTTTACAGATAAAATAGTCCATCATTAGACATATGCAGGCATCACATTCTTAACACTTTGGTCTGAGTAACTCCACTTGCATCATTTTACAGCCAATGTACGTTGCCCACCAGTTCTCTCACAAACATATTGCACTATAAATGAGTGTTTTTAAAATACATTTAAAGTAACTGTTCATATTGCATAAAATACCATATATTACAACCTATAAAAGATAATAATAGCTTTGTTTCCTAAAATCAAATCAGTTTTGAGAGTCGACTCTCTCCTCTTCAGCAGCTGTGGGCCTGCTTTGCTGAAAGAAATTAAGAAAAAACAATGAATAATGACATATTCTCATACAAAATCTTGAGGCTAAAAATCTGAATTACCGTTGCCTCATGTTGGTAGTAGCCCCTATAAAGGTTCAGAACCATCATATAAAAAGTGCCAAAGATGAAAGAGGCCACCAGTGAGAAGAAGGCGAGTCCTGACAGTGTGAACAGCAGCGTCAGTGCAGCTACAAACAACAGGAACACTGCAAAACATAGTCAGAGTTAGTACAATTTATGACTTAAAATGAAAGAAATAATAAGATAATAATGACAACAATTAATTAGATTATTAATGAAATAAGTGATGAAGTTTTTTTTTAAATAAATATATACATTTGGGCTGGGCAAATAATCAAATTTAATCTAGATTGACATGCTTGGGTGTTTTTGATTGACTACAGTCAATCCTCAGTAAAAGCATGTGGTTTGGGGGAGTACATGAAATTTAATATTTTTTGTTAAATGACATTAATTGTTTGAAATCTTTCTTTTGTTTCTGTTTGTAGAATCAATACTGAATGTCAGTTTACTTTGTTTTTGACAAGAGCAAAGAAATTGAATCGTAAATCAAGATTGCTAAAAATGAGTAAAGAATATACAATATATTTTTTTTGCCACACTGCCCAGCCCTAATATAAATGTATATATTTGATATGGCACTGTGTAATGTTTTAAGTGGAGGGTCCAAAACTTTGTTTTCTCCAAGGAAAAACGAGCCCACAAAGGGTTAGACTTACAATCCCCACGGTGACTCCATTAATTAAGTTATTGCAATAAAATGCTTGTAATTGAATAAATTAAATATAGAGAAGTTTGCCGCAATGTGGAACATTCAAACACTTCAGATGGAACGACATGGAGTGTGTGATGACCCTTTACCCTCAACGAAAACGAAGCCCACTGCTGACATCACCAGAGTCACCAGGGCGAAAACGACAAAAAGCCCAACAGGCAGAACAGCCATGGACGTGAAGAGGAGCACGCTCAGGCCGAAGACGGGATGCTGACGGAGATACTGCCCCAGTCTGGTGTTCAGAAGCCAGGCCACCTTAAACAAACATGCAGGCAGAAAATTATATTAAGTAGAGCAATGTGATAGAACAACTAAATTAATCAGATATTTCTCTCATACTGGTTGTTCATGATTTTATATTTAATTTTATTTTTTCTTATTAAAAACAAATAAAAATGGCATTTCCTGAACATAAACAAAAGACTTTATGATCTGTGCCATTTAACTCAAACACACAGGTCAAACCACATGCTTTTACAGAGGATTGGCTGTGGATCTCTATATTAAAATGACCCAAGCAAGTAATTAACAATTAGAAATGAAAGAAACGATTAGAAATGAAAGAAATGATCTGATAGGGCTGTGCTTAATGGCACAGCTCTATCAGATCAGATTTCTGCTGAGACTGTGATTGCACATGCCATCTGTTTTAAAGGTTCTATATCACCCAAGCCCGACTCTTGGGAGTTTTAAGACATGTTAGAATATTGTTACCTCATCAAAAACAGACCTGTGGTTGTATTTTGTTTCATTCACACAACCCTTTACTATTTACTAGTCAGTCTACATCTGCAAAACTCAAAATACTCTGTTCCACTTTGTGATGTCATGCAGCTGTACTTTTCACCTTTTACCTTTAGGGCAAACAAAATTGGCAATTCCAGGTCTGAAATCATCTAAATGATTATAGTGAAGGTGTGTGTGAATGATTATTTCCATATAAACTCAAAGGAGAATATTTTAATTCAGAACGAACAATTAGTTCGTTCTGAATTAATCGTTCAGTGTATGTCCGGCATTAGACGTAAATATGTTTGTGTGCCCCCTGTCCAATCAGAACCTTTCCTGACCCCCAGATGTTGAGTAGAATTAAATAATGGCGATTTAACTTGTTTTCCATGTAAACCTCAATTCGGAATGATTATTTCCATATAAACTCAAAGGAGAATATTTTAATTCAGAACGAACAATTAATTCAGAATAAAAAAAAAAAAAACTTAAACATGGCCACTATCCCTTTAATATTTGTCATATGTAGTCATGTGACAAGGTTCCCACGGTCTTGGAAATCCTGGAAAAGTCATGGAAATTGAAAATGTCATGGAATTTTGGAAAACTCATGGAATTTTAGTATCTCTCTATCTCTTTTTCTTTCGCATTCTGTTAAGTTCTCATTAGGCTATTATGATTATTTTCGAACGTTTGATCCTTTTGTTTAAAAGAGACGACAATAAATGCACTGACAGTATTTTGAATGTGGCAATTCCAGGTCTGAAATCATCTAAATGATTCTAGTGAAGGTGTGTGGAGTTTAAAACTACAATGGAGAACTTCCTGGATTACCACAAGACATCACAGGGTGGACCAGTTTTTCTTTTGAGAGAAGAACATGCACTGTTTGTGTTAAACATGTGTGAATGAAACAAAACACAACTCAAAGTATGTTTGTGATGAAACAACATTATAACATAGATCAGAAAAGTAATATGGGCCCTTTAAACACTGACATATCTTATTGTATGTCTTTTTTTAAAGTGCAGTTATTAGTATATATATATTTAATTAATAATATTAATTTAATCTTATGTCTGGTTATTCTGTTTATTTTTTAGGTAAAACTGGGGGGAAAGAGATTATGTGGGGCCACCATAGTCTCTTAGATAAAGGAAAATAACTTAGGTTTCTTACCCTGGGGTCTTCACAAAGCTGGTTTAAAAGTGGGCTCAAACTCTGACAAAGTGAATTGCTGCTGCCTTCCATCTTCACTCTTTTAAGACAATTTTTTACCTGTAAAATAAAGAAAAGTCAAGAACATAAATATAACACAAACAAATATAACAGTTGAATAACAAATCTGGTGAACTTCAATGGAAATGTCAAGGTTAAATCAAAAGACAGTGACAGAAGAAGACAGCACAAGAGAAACACAAACCTGGATGTTGGAGCAAAGATCTGAAGAAATGAATTGTGTCCTGCTTCCTCAAGAGCTAAAAAGACACATCACAACACACCTCTTCTGGTTCTTCCCACTCCCTCTTCCTCATTTTTAGAAGTTGAATGTTGCACAGTGTCATCTACTGGCCACACACTGTATTACAATTCATGTTGGTGTGTCAGGTTAAATGAGAACTAAGAATCATTTATTTTCTTGTTGAATCTCGAGAACAATAACTGAAAACTCATTGTTATTGCTGGGTTATAATAAATAGCACAGATGGAGGCAGCTAAAATGAATAGGCCTATTATTAAAATTCTGTATTTCGTTGTAATATAGCAAATTTTAGTATCTAGTAGTCTCTAAAAAAAAAAAAAAAAAAAAAAAAAAAGAATGCAATCAAATCTGAAATCTTCCTGCTGGCAGATGGAGCACAGTCTCTCCGCCAAAGGAATATTATAGGCCATTTGACTGTGTATATTATTAATATTTTAATATGAATAGAGACCAATCGAATAAAAGTTTTGGTCTTTTAGACAGTTGTAGCAAGTTGATATGTTGGAGCATTTTTAGGGTGACCAGAATTTCAAAATAAAAGACTGGGCCTTTTTTTTTTTTTTTTTTTTTTTTGGTGGTTGGTAATAATACAATGGTGAAACGAGTGCGTAATGGAAAAATAATAATAAATAAATAAATAAATAAATAATAATAATAATAATAATAATAATAATAATAATAATAATAATAAACTGTTATGCAGAGACCATTCATTACTAAAATATGAACCTGATTTTTTGTCTTTTACCTAAACAGTTTACAATTTATGTCTCTCTTTACTGTTGGCAGGTACCAGATGGTCAAAAATAGGGGCATCTAGGACATTTATTCTATAAAACCAGGACAAATCACTGATTTTGGATAAACCTGCTGGAACAGGGGACACAGGGCTCAAAACTGGGACTGTCTCTGGTAAATAGGGACATCTGGTCATCCTAACCATTTTGTAATGTCCAAGTGACCGTATAGGCCTAATAACACTGGCTATTGTGTTTGGTGTTTGATGATTTGAACACTTTATGCATGCATAATAATATTCTCTGCTCAGTAACAGTATTGTCTTGTTTTTGTTTCAAGAGAACAGTGTCTAGGAGTCGCCGGTAGATGGCGTAAAAATGCTGCATTTAAGCACATGACAAACTCCTCAACAAGTTCACCAGTCTCCCCTTTTCATGCTTTTTGTAGATGTATGATTGCAACAGCGAGATAAAGACATGAACTGATCAGAATATCAAATGGTTGAACTTCAGCTTTGGTGCTGATTGCTTCTTCACTCGCAGACGGCCGCTTCAGTCACGCACAAATGAAGTTATACCCTGGAGTTTTGTGCAGCGCGGAATGTACACTGCCACCTCTTAAATGTAAGGGAAATGATCCAGTGTAATCTGGTCCATATTAAATACCCCGACTAGAGACTCCTATGGGACCATTGATGACAACTTATTTGACTTCTTGCCGCTGCTGGCCATATAATCTATCACACTCCATTGTATCGAGTAGGGATTTGGTTAGAGCACAGGAGAGACAGCCACCTCTACAGACTGCTAAACATAATGAACTCACTGAACCGAGTAAACTGCAGACTTGTGTACGTGCAAACACAAGGAGTTTCCGTGATTGGATCCTGCTGCTGATACTTTGTGGTGGCCCCTACAGTTACAATGACCGGGGGGCAACGCATTTATCAACACGAACAGAGTGAATATTGTAGCGGTGGTTTTCAGAGTTGGTGATGCTGTCATACTCCCTGTTAGAAGAAAAGTCACAAACGTTAAAGTTGGTCTTTTATATTGGTGATTATAGGCCCTATAGAGCTTGCTATAAGCTAGAGCTACAGAAAGGCCTTAAAATGTTGTAATGTCATGTGAAAACTCACTGCCAGAAGAACAGCAGAGACATCACAGCGTCTCAATAAATCTGGTAGGGCTGATCATCATCTTCATCTATTTTGTGGTTTGTAACCCTCCTGTGCTGCAGTCTGCATATGGCTATAGAGGAGTGTTCACAGGTCAATATCACAGAGGTCAGATTGTGTCATATAGTTATTCATATCATGAGCATGTGTAGCGCTCAGTGTCTGATGTTATGTCTACTATAGCACCTGCTAATTAAACCCCTCAGCAGATTGCAGCGTCCATGATTGATGGGACTTCATCCCATTTCAATTTCCATGCCTTAATCACTGGGAGAAGCCGACAGAGGCGTGAAATGGTGATCTGCTTGTCTGGTCTGCTGCTCCTATTTAATGCTTCTTATCCATGATTACTTTAATCATGTATATTTCACTTTACAAATTAGTTATGTTTCTAAATGAACTATAGTAATCTTTATAGATATTTTTACAAATAAACTGTAGGTACTACACTGCTGTAGACTACTGCAAACAGGCTATTCAAAAGATACAATATTTTGCTCACAAAAAGCTAAAAATAACTAGAATGCTGCACGAGTGTCTTCAGACATGTTGCACCTTGGTGATAATATTTCATTTTGAATTGTTAATTGTTATGGCAATGGTCCTAACTTTTCATCATCCTGAAACCCATGGTGTACCTCTTGCCATAACAGCCTGTATAATGTTTATGTCAACATGGATGGTGAAAATGCATTTCCTTGAGTAATAGATTTTTGGTGCAATATTGGCTTTAATAAAGCATCAGCAAAGACTTAATTCATAATAAACAACTTTATCAAATGCTTCAGGCTTAGTAACAATTTATAATTAAACAGTTAGGGTTAGAGGTTAGGCATTGATTAAGTCTGAATCACTCTTAATAAACTATTTGTTCATTATGAATTAAGTCTTTATCCATGCCATATTATGGCTTAAAGCCGCAGGAAAATCCTCAATAGTGTGGCTTAAAACCTCTCTGTGTGAAATGTTCCAGAGGATCATATTAACTTTCTGTTTCTATGGAATCATGCAGGTGATGTACCACCTCCAAAAAGTCCCATACTGTACCTTTAAGTGTTGTTGTAAAGTGTTACAGGTTTTTGCACTGTGGGGTCACTGAGTTCACCAACAAAAACAAAACATTTGGAAAGTAAATCAAATCTGTACAAATGCTGTAGTTTGTTTCTACTGCTCATTACCTATGCAGCTTTCCTTGGGGACTCCTGTTTTGATGGATGCCTGCTGCTCCCTCCGCTGTGTTTTAATGTTTGAGTTTTGATTTACGATGGTGGGGTGATGCATGGCGAGTGACAGATCCTGAGAAAGTATGGAATAATTGAGAAGGTGTGATGGGATGTCGAGGTCATTATTAAGGGAAGGTGCTAGAGAAACTGGCTGTAGCCATTATTTTGTGCTCCATTCTGAATGTTTCACTGTGGAGAGAGAAAAAGGAGGAAAAGAGGAGTGGACCAGGGAGCGGAGATGAATAGTGTGGTCCATATTTTGACATGGGGGTTTCCTAGCACTCATTAAACCTGTCGCCGTGAACGCGCCACGTGCCGGACTCATTGATCCCAGAAAATGAACCCTTTTCCCTGGTGGTGAAACATGCTTAGAGCTCCATACATTTCCCCTGTATCCATTGTTGGCAAGTTTGGATTTAGCTTAAAAAATAAAAAAAAGGTCAAATATAAAGGCAAATAAATACAGTAAAAACTTAAATGCTAAAGTAACAGACTGTGAGGAAATTAAGAACATTTTAGTTCTCCTTAATCCTTTATCAAAGTTTATTTGTGGCAAGGCAGAAACCATAAGAACTCAAGGTCTAAATGTGAAAAAAAAAAAAAAAATGCTCCAAGTCCCTGAAAAACTGCACAGATCTTATTCAAATGTAGAATAGTTTTGCTGTAGTAACACACATACATAACATCATGAACACTTTTTTATTTTTGTCAAAAAAATTTAAAAACAATGAGCAATGAATAGAGCATTTACCACAAATCTGTAGGGCTGCCAATATTTTAGAGATCTGTTTTGAATTCTCAGTTTTTAGGTCCCTTGCGGTACACTCTCTTAAAGGTGAAGGATTGTTTATTGTTGTTTGACCCTTCCTTCATACTGCTGGGGCTGTGTAACTTTTTAGCCCAAGTCAAAACAAAAACAAAATGAGCAAGCATGATTGCATTGCACTGAAAACTTTTTAGGATGCGTACATTTCTAAATGCTACAAGTGTCTTCAAGTTGAAAATGCTTTGTTCCAACTTGGGATGTCATGAAGTTGTAGTTTTCAAGGTAACAGTTACTTTTTACCTGTAGTTCAGTAGAGATTGGCAATTTCAAGACTAAAAAATGATTCTAGTGAAATCACTGGTTTTGGATAAATCTGATGGGACAGGGGACACAGGGCTCAAAACTGGTACTGTTTTGGGTAAATAGGGATGTCTGGTCACCTAAGCATTTTGTAATGTCCGGGTGACCACATAGGCCTAATAATACTGGCTATTGTGTTGGATAAGTTACTCAATGCCATTTTACAATCATCCTCATCTTTAATGATAACATTTTATGCATGCATAAGAAAATCCTCTGCTCAGTTCTAGTCAGTATACATTTTGTCTCAAGAGAACAATGTCTTTTTACCTGTAGTTCAGTAGAAATCCGCAATTTCAGGACTAAACAAATTATTCTAGTGAAGGTGTATGAAGTTTAAAAGCACAACTGTATTATCTCATGACAGCACAAGATGGAACAGAGGGTTTTCTTTTTTTGCGAGAATACTCAGTCAAAAATGCAGGTATATGTTTTTAACTTATTGTAAATTGTAGTATAATAATACAAAGAAAACAACTTTTGCTCAGTATATTGAGAGGCCGAGGACAAACCGACCATGCCTGGGGACAGATAGCACAATATCCTGTACTCAAACAGTGATGTGGCAGCGGTGAAACAAATCCTTTATAATGCAAACACAATACATTTGTCAGGTGCATCTGTACAACCTGCCACCCACACAGACAGGGACAAAAGAGCTCACGCAGACAGGGCCCATCCTTTCTGTCCCTGTTTGAAGCCATAACCACTTTGAATGGAGCAGTACTTGAGGCACATGAAAGCAGCGATGAGCAGCAGGTAGTACATCTAACGCGCA